TATTCGGACTATTGTCCTCATCTTTGTTGCTATATTTATCACAAGGTTTCAGTCATTGTACACTCCAGCCTTCTTCCGGTGGCTGGAATGTTGAACTGAACCCTTTATTTCACTTGCCAGGATAGACTGTTCTATTTCCACGCACCATGTCTAATAGATGTCAGTTATCTCCTGTTAATTCACCTCGCCAAGTTCTCCACTGCCTTAACCAGGTATTGAACTCACAACTCTTTGTGTCCTGTCACTGGATCTAATCAACACCTTTATCCACTGTGCCATGTGTCCTTGGTGAATTAACAGGAGATAACTGGTAACTGACATACATTTGACATGGCACGAGGAACTAGAACAGTCCACCCCAGCAAGCGAAATAAAGGGCTCAGTTTGACATTCCAACCACCTGAAGAAGGCCAGAGCATACAATGGCCGAAACATTGTGATAAATATGGCAACAAAGATGAGGACAATAGTCCAAATAATATTATGGAATTAACATTAATTCCATTTATAATTTTACGCGCGCGCGAGTTTCCTCCCTTTTGTTTTACACTCGTGCGTGTGTGCGCGTTTGACACCCCTTTTCTGTCTCTTTTTAGTCTAATACAGTAGTAACTGTTTTTGGTCAGCAGTCAAGACGAGCTGCTACTTCTACTTATGCAAATTAGACTTTTTGAATTTTTTTTCCGCGCGTTTTCGGCGTTTCAAAACTGCTAACGTTTGCAATCCAGTTGCCTCTTAACTGTCGACCGGACTGGATGGGCAACTCATTTATTCCGTGCCCTTAATCCATATGCGGGCCGGAATATCTTATTTTTTACAATGTCGACTGCACCCTCTACCAAGACTTTTTCTCCTTTTTGAAGCTGCCAACAGGTCGGACCTTTTTCTCCGTTTTCTACCAGAAGACGTTTTAGAGACACGACACTGTCGTGAGCAAAAGTTCGTTTTCAACTAATGGCGTATTTTTATCCCTCGTCAGGGGCCTAATAAGTATAGGCAGGGATGTCCTACTGAACGAACAAATTGCTAATCACAGGTCAGGACCTTTTTCTCCGTTTTCTACCAGAAGACGTTTTTAGAGACACACGACACTGTCGTCGGCAGAAACTTCGTGTTCAACAGGTGACTTAAACTTACCCCTGGCTTCGAACCAAATAATACAGGCAGGGATAATATTACCTTTGAACGAAAACATTTTTCGTCTTTCTCTTTGGGCTCGCCGCAAACCATTCTACAAGACCATGCTTCGTCTCTCCCTCGGCTAGATGCCCACAGCAGTCCAGAACATTTACCAGCGGTCAATTCAATATTTACCGAACATTCTTTATAACTTTGAACCTGTACATTAAAAATATGCATAATCACTTACAACTTAAAATATCCACAGTGAGTACTCCTTTCTATCTGTGCGCACATTCTTTTTCCGGAACTGTATAAAACTTTCTTTTCCCGCCTTTGGCCATCTTGTATTTCTATTTTGGCGCGGAACATTTTTCATTGATCCCTACCTTGAGCTAAGTTACTTGTTACTGTTTAATTAAAGTTTTGTTTATTCATGTTTTATAAACAGATGTCTTTGTCATTTTTTATTTCGGCTATCTTAATACCATTTATTTATGCACTTGTTGATTGACCCCTTTCCTCTCATTGTTCATTCACGCATTTTACTTATTTTTACTTTGCTTGTAGACTCGGTAGTTTAGTGTGGTGTCTGGCACAAGGCCACTCAGTATAATCCAGCACTGCACGCTGCCGGGTCCGCAACAATATAAATAGTGTAGATAATACTGCATCTCAGAAATATAGACAAAATTTTTAAATGCTTTCATTTTCTGTGCAGATTAGTTCTATGCTACATTCACATCCAATATTCACAAGAACACATTGTAATTAAACAATAGAATAAAAACTTTACTCTGAATACTTTACAATTAATTCTTTAGAAACTGCTTCGCTTACATCTCGAATAAAAAACTGTGCAGATTTGAAACTTTCAAAAAAAGAAGTTTAGTTAAGAAGATGCACTTTACTTGTACTCGTTATGTCATTTACCCAGCATTGGTTGAGTCTGCTCTGTCAAATGAATTAGCCATATCCTGAATGAAAGTTGACCAAGTTCAGTGGTAAGATGCAATTGACTCAGTAAGAACTAGCCATAGCAGAGGTCATATTCATTTAGTCACACAATTTCCTAGTAGGAGTTTCAATGGAAATTTGGAATCCTAAGTCATCACCAGCTGCATGTATACACACCTCAGGATATTGCAATCTAAGCAGTGAATCAGAGTGCACAAACATTTACTTTCCTTACCCAACCCAATTCAGTAATACCAGGATTGTAAGGGGAAGGAATTTGACTGGCAGAGGTGTGACACATGGTCTTCAGATCATATAATCATGATGCACAGCCTATTCTGAGCCACTTTATAGGCCAATAGAAGCACATCCCCACTATCCAACTCAGACATACCACCCTTCAAACTCATGTGCTTTCCTTAAATAGGGAAAATATAACCTTGCTTGTGGCTGTAAATAACATTGGATCAAATAGTGATTTCTTCTACAAAGGGAGACACAGATTTCATACCTGCTACGAAGCACATTTTCTTTACTAATATTTCTCAAATGCACAGGCCAATAGATATAATACACACTGTTTTTATAAATACCATCTATTTCAAATAAAAAATATCCACTATAATAAAATTTGAAGTAATAAAAATATTGGATCAAAATTAAATCCATATAATTCTTTAGAAATATATTATTTTCTTAAATTATTTTCCATCATACACTGACTGAACAATACTAGAGTTTAATGTGCTTGCATGCAATCTTCAGGTAGACAGCCTACTATTAGTAGAGGTTGGTCAATATATGCTGGAAAATAATGAAAAAAATATTAATTCTTTTGTCATTTTCATACTGACCTCTTTTCTCCTGGTGTTAGCATACTCTCTTAGGAGCTACTTACTTTGTGTGTGTGCATATATATATATATATATATATATATATATATATATATATATATATATATAGTATATATAAAAAAGTATTAAACAACATTTACCGGCCTGAATGTCTGAGAAATTTTCATCCTCTGACAGGAATCAAACCTGTATCCTAGACATGCTTTAACCATTTCAGCCACAGAGGAGTGTTCAGTTAGCAAGGTGGATTATACTGTCTTTAAACTTTAATCTGGGGAATATTATTAGTATTAGTAGTAATCCTATAGGTATAAGAAACTACACTCATTCGAAAAAACTTTGGTGTCCTGATTTGCAAATAATCAAACCAATACCAAATGGACAAAAAGGTATAAAAAAAAGAAAGAACCAAGAACATGTACGATAGCTGAAAATAATCATCCAGCATGCAAGTTCAAAGCCCAAAGAAAAAAAACCTGATACGAGTACGCAAAACAACTAAAAAAAGTGCTCAATGTGCTTAGGTAAAACCTTGGTAGCTTTGTCTGGCTCTCTAGGTTTAACTATATATATGGAATAGATAAATCATAAAGTCAGTGACTTATATTGACCCAGATTCCCGCAGACACAAACTCACTCATAAGAGTATGATATATCTATTGAATTTATTAAAAGATATCCCATTTAACTCAAGTATATTATATAAAAAAATTATTAGTATCAACACATTTATGAATTTGTTTTATCCTATAAATATTATAACGTGACATCATCTAATCTGAAATTGTTCGATTATATATTGGATGTAACATGAAGAGAAAATACTGACATAATTAAACATGATGCTGTTGTTGAAAGTCCTCAAGTGATGTGGTTTCTAATATTTGATACAATTCTTTCTGTGTGTTTCTGTAGCATCAGTCTATGTCGGTTCAAGAATGATTGTCCTCAGTAAGACCTACATGCTTCACAGATTTTTAACCATTGATTTTAGAAAGCAGTTGTTTACAGCTGACAGTTTAAATATGTCTGAATGAGTCTGGCACTGTGCATAGCATCCATATGAAAGTCTTGATCTGATGAGGTCATTTAAGAACTTAACTCAAAATTTTTTGTTTTATAGCAACTTGCAGTGTGGCCAAGGTTACTTCTAACATAGTCTATTTTATGTTCAATTTCCTTATCTCCTATACTAAATTTGATATAAGTGAAGTATTTACTAATTCTACTTCATGAATTTTTTATAATGGACTCAGTAATGAGTAAATGCTAATTAAATTTATTTCTGTGTGGTTCTACAGAAGGATGCTGAGAATACTATGAACTGAACATGGGAGCAACAAAGAAGTTTTAGAGAAAATGGAAACAAAAAGGATACGTTAATATCAGAGAGCAACAGTTGAAATTTCTAGGGCACATAATGAGGAAAGAGGGCTTGGAAAATTTGGCACTTACAGGACATTGAAGGCAACAGGGAGAGAGGAGAACAGTGCCTAACCTACCTAACAAGTCTGTGTAAATGGGTGGCAGAACAGGGTTTAGGAGAGATATCAAAAAGACAAAATTTACTAAGAGCTACAAAGAATGGGAAATAATGGTGAGCTTTGCAGACACTCAAGAGACATTGCGCATTGAAGAAGATCTGAGAGTAAAGGAAAAAGAATTCTTACCCCAGTATATTCTGTATGCTAAAATCCATTCATATTGTCTCATAATAGTGTAATTGGGTATTTGTACAATAAACCATGCATTTGGAACACTTGCAATTCCCTTCACGCCTTTCATGTACACTTGTCCAACGGCCACAACAAATATCTTCACATTGTCAAGTTTCAGGAGATGAGCTTCTTTTTCAGTCAAAAGCTGTTTGTTGGATCTGCCATTTGTGAAAACAACAGCAATATTCATAACTCCAGGTCTGGCTCCAAATTGCTCAATAAACGAAAATTTCCTGGCGTACTTCAAAGCCCGATTTGTATATTCTTGTCCTTTTCGATATGGAATGTTGTCAATGGCTTTCAGTACTTGCCTGAGATGTTTGAAGCTGTTTAAGTTGAAATTATCCCTTACCGAAGTGCTGTAAGTTATGGCACCAACTCGTACATATCTTGGCGCAATGCGGAAATACTTCACAACAGACTTCACAAAGGCCTTCACCATTCTAAAGTTATTCTCTCCAATATAAGTAGACGTGTCAATGATAAACACAAGATCAAGGCGTGCTGATCCATATCCTGAAAAGAGATGCAGATAATTACTTTTTAGAATTCTCAAAATGAAAAATTTTTAAATTTATAAAGAAAAAAACTTTCTAGTCAGAGGAATTTTTAATGAAAAAAGGAGCTAAAAGAGCACTTACACTTACAATCAGAAACAGGTAGTTGAAATTTCTGTGACACATAATGAGGAAAGAAGGCCTGGATAATCTAACACTCACAGAACATATTGAAGGCAAAAGAAGCAGGAAAAATAGCATGTAACCTACTTAATGAGTTTGTGAGCATATATTGCAAAACAGGAACAAAGAAGGATGGAAAAGAATCAAAATATACTTTTTTAACTAAATTTTTTCCAAGACAAGGCTAAAGAGCAACTCAATATAGAGGGTTACTGCTGAAATAATAGTGATGAATGGGATGTGAGAATAGAAGGTGGTAGGAAGCGGAGATTTTGAGGAGAAGAAGGATAGATAATAATTGACACTGAACTTGGAGAGGTCAAAATTGAAGTATCCAGGGAAGCATCCATGTGGGAGTTTGTTCCACAAAGTGGCAGTTCTTAGAACACAGCTTTCTGTGTGAAATTTTCATCAAACATTTGGAATATGGGGAAAATGAAAATAGCATGATGTGTCCTTAGAACAATAAAAGAAGTTGTGGAGAGCCATGATCATCAACATCATGAAGAGACATGACATAATAAAAGAAAGATTTTGTTGAATACTTTAACTGTAACCAAGTAAAAGATTTTATTGTTATTAATTTATTACTAATTATTATTGTTATTTAATTAATATCAATTTTAAGTGCTTTTAATTTCAACTTCCTTCAGAAAGTAGTGAAGATTTTAAATCTATATTACTATGTGAAAGTTTGCATGTGTGTATGTATGGACATCACAGGCTAACAGAAAGTCTGAAATTTTGCATGGGATAGTGAAAGATGCCATCTAAAAGCTAAGCAGAGTATTCAGAAACAGAAAAATATCATTAGAAACAAAGAAAAGGGTACTGAAGTTTATGTAGTATCAGTCCTCCTATATGGCAGCAAATTCTGGACAATATCCTCGAAGATGAAGAAGAAACAGAAATTTGGTTCTACAGAAGGATGCTGAGAATAACACTTTAGCAACAACAAAATTCTAGAGACAATGGCAACAAAAAGGATACTTATGTCTAACATTAGGAAGAAACAGTTGAAATTTCTAGGGCACATAACGAAGAAAGAGGGTTTGGAAAATGTGATACTCACAAGACAGATTGAAGGTAAGAAGGCTAGAGGAAATAACCTGGAGAGCTTGAGCAAATGGCTGATGGAGCATGGTTTGGGAGAGAACAAAAAGATAAAAGTTATTAAGAGCTATAAAGGACTAGAAATTGTGGAGAGCCATGATCACCAACATTCTGAAGAGACATAGTACATAGAAGATCATGTATTAGTATAGGCTGTGTGAGTTTGACCTGAGAGATACAAGGTCACCAGATATCATAAAATAATATAGTTTTAGATGCAATTACCAGTGAAATGGAAAGAGAAATTGAGTTTTCTGTGGAAAATAAGAAATACTTTCTTTTGATTTCAGAAACTGTTGAGCTGATAAATTTCAGTTAAATCTCTGGAGTCACTGGCAGTCACCACACAAGATCCCTATCCATCAAACATGACTGATAAAAGGTAACCTCTATTTTCTCGCCAACCATTGAAGGTAAAGAGAAACTCTCACTATTAGGTAATTTGCTTAAATTTCCACAATCTTCACCTTCTCTATAACTAAATACGAATTTGGTGGTATGATGAAAAATGGCAGAAGATGGGCAAAAGTGGAAGAGGGGGGGGCAAACTGTGATGCTTCAGTCACTATTAGGCACCTATCCGTAAGTGTTGCTGAGTAGAGCTACCACAGGAATACGACAAGAACAGGAGTGATATTAAAAGATCAAGACGTTTGACAATCTGATAATCTTAAAAAAGATTTTGCTACAAAAAGACCTCAGAACAAAACATTCAGCCAAAGAGTTTATATCTATACAAAGAATAGATTGTAGAGGTCAAATAATGTTGGATATGATAATGACCCTCTCCAAATTATAGACAAAGAGTTTATATCTATACAAAGTAGAAATTGTAGAGGTCAAACAATGTTGGATATAATAATGACCTTCTCAAAATTATAGACAAAGAGTTTATATCTATACAAAGAAGAGATTTGAACATTGAAATAATGTTGTATATGTTAATGATTTTTTTCAATGTTATAGACCATAATGCAAAATATTAAATATAAAAATATTTACCTTTAAGTTTCCAGATCTTCTGAACTGAAAAATAAAATAAATATGTTAAAATATTAGAACAGAAACTACAAATGTCTTGAAATTATTATTGAATGTTTTTTTAAAAACTAGTTTACAGTCAAATGCTAATTATTTAATGTTGTTTAAAAATTAATCAAAGATTTATCCCTACCAAAGTTATTAATAAATTCATGATTTATTCAAAAACTGAATATACACTACAGTTCAAAAGATTGTGGCTACAAGCAAGGTGATAATGCCACTAAGATGCAAGGGGCTACCAGGATTGAAACAAAAAAAAAAAATACAAAATAAAAAATTAGACAGAAGCATTAAAAGTATAGAGTTGAAGTAGACTTTAGAAGAAATCAGAAACCTAATCCTAAACAGGAAACAAAGGATATTCCTCTATTCCTCTTCCACTGGAAAAGAGTGTGAACTGAGTGATAGATAAACCTATCTACAGATATATTTTCTTCATCTTTGTTGTTGTTATCACAATGTTTCAACCATTGTGCCTTCAGGCCTTCCTCAGGTGTATATCAATTCAGGTAATACACATGAATTCCAAACTGAACCCTTTATTTAATCTACAGAGGTAGACTGTTCTTATTCCACTGTTCATGTCTAGGGATATCTCATCTATTTCTTATCTCTATCTATAAAAGGCAGGATGTGTATGTGTGTTTGTGTGTGTTTGTATGTGTATGTGTGTGTGTGTGTGACGAATGCACGGATGCAATTTTTGACAGATTTGCACCAAAATTTACATGCACATGCTCTAAGTTAGTGGAAAGGCCAAGACCGACTTTGCATTTCCCAACTCTCATTGATAGTGGAAATAATCAATGTTTTCATGCTTCTACAGAAGTTTTCATGTAGTTTGCGGCCATTTTCTACTGGCCAGAGTGAGAGCCAATAGCTGGCTGCCACAAATAGGCAGGAAGATTCTATTAGCCAGCGTGAGAGCCAACAGCTAACTGACACGAATGTTAACTAGCATGCTAGCATGCAAAAAAAATCGATAGCTGCATTCATCACAAGTGGGAAAAATTTAAATCTGCATGGCACTTTACTCCAATTGGCTCATTCGCTTGCTTAAACTCAACGTTGATTCTGATTCCACAGAACTGGGTTGGGTGTGAAAAAGTATTTGTTGTTAACATTCATTTTTCATTCGTTTTTTCCAGTGACGAGTCCTTTTTTTAAAGCTGATCATTTTGTGTTCATTTTGTTTAGTTCTTTTTTCATAACAGATTTAATGTTTAGTATAGAGCTTAGAAAAAATTCACAGTGTGAGATAGGCAAAGAGTAAGGCATGTAGCAACATCAGCACGGCAAAGGGCACTCCTTTAAAGGCAAGGAAGGGCAAAAATATTTGAAGTCTAGTGATAGCGATTGCTGTATGAGTCGTGCGATTTTTGAATCAAGCATGGGCAATGCCGAGCCATGCTGCTAGTTTTTTTTCTACAGCTCAATTATTGATCACCTGTTTCCACTGAGTCCAAGTACAAACTCAGCTCAGCTCATCGATTGAACTCAAATTTACTGTCACTAAATTCATGAATCAGCACTTTAATCCACTAGGCTAATTTTGTATAGAACACTAGTCTGTTTGTAAATAGTGTAAATGACTATAAGTCCTCATAGCAGAAATTCAAACTAACTAAAGTACACTGATTTGATAATATATACTCCACTGATAGCTAATGGTGATTAGTGAATTTGGTTTCAAATATCATCAGCATCTGACCTGTTCTGACTTAACAGCAAATGACAAATCAGAGTGTTTACTCATCTTCAGCATGGCTTCTAGTTTTTGAGCATGCACATCTGCTCATGCAAATTTGTGGCTTTTTCCATACCCTCAGAGACACCCTGTGGGTCTATACTGCAACTAAGCTGAGTGGTTGTATGTTACAGTTTAAATATGTATTTCACCATATGGTTTGAATTAACAACAGATTGTAGGTCATTTTGAGATCAGTGGCCAATTTGACTTTATCAAACCGATTAGACTTACTATTAAGACAGCAGTAACTAGTTGAGTCATCAGCATAGATACCAAGTTGAGAACTGATGACATCAGGAAGGTCATTTATGATTCAGAATGTCTGGTATTTGCTGACTTACATCATGTACAGTTTGAAGAATTTGCAGATAATAAGGCAAAGGGAACATGCTGAGAGCTTTGAATGCCTCTGTTCTGAAGAGATGGCATTTTTAAAGAAAATGACTTTTAGCCTGTCTTGGCACTGCAGGTTGGTAGCAAGCCTTATTGATATATACCTATCATACAAAAAGTTTATTTACAATTCTATCATTCATCCATGCTTTGAGTATTGCTGCCACATATGGTCTGCTGCTCTTGTTATATATTTGGAGATTTTTGATAAAATTCAAAGAATCTGCTATGTTATTGGTCCTAACCTGGCATCTTAGTTCCACCATGTTCCTTTTCTAAAAATATTTTCATGGTAATTGTTCTGAAGAATTTTCCTCTATAGTACTTTAAAAATCTAAGCTCTGTACTAGATTGGTCCCAAGGTCTCATCATTTTACAATTGAAATGTCTAGATGTAATTGTAAGTTCTATGCTGATAGTGAATAAAAACTTGGTGAGTTGAGTTAAAGAGAGATAACTGAGACATCTGGTAGAGACATGGCATGTGGAACTAGAACAATCTACCCTGGTGGACAAAATAAATGATTCAGTTCAAAATTCCAATCACCTGAAGAAGGCCAGAGTGTACAACAGCCGAAACATCATGAACCTGACAATAAAAGTGAGGCCAACAGTCTGAACAATGTAAATAGTTACAATACTCCATCACAGAAAGATAGACAGATACTGACAGTTTTTCTTTCACATTTCTTGCTTGAGGAGCTGGCATTTTGCTTTCCATGTCAATTATCTTCTGTTTTTTTTTCATTCCAGTTCTTTTATTTTTCTCTCTTCTTAATAGTGTTTTTTGTCATATTATCTCACTCATTAATTGCTTGTTTCTTAGTGGCTTTATTGCCTTGCTTGAGGTGACATGTTTAAAAAAGAAAGAAAAAACCATATATATATATATATATATATGTGTGTGTGTTTAAAAAAAAGTAAAAACTATATATATATATATATATAATTACATCAACCATTTTTGTGCAAACAAAAAGAGATTTTTTGTTTGCTTTCAGTCTTTTAGGAGTTTTGTTTTCTTCTCCACCTTTTATTTTTTTCTCACAGTGCGAATTGTTCTTCTGTCAGAATTTACCAACATATACTTCAGAGGAAATGTTGGTTGAAATAGGTCCTTAAAATGTAATGCTTTCCTATGTTTTCAAATCTATATATAAGCTCCTGCTTTATATTTCATAAAAATACAGTTTTTATGTTATATTTATAGGTAAAGTGCTCAATATCAGAAGTAGAGTGTATGTAAATAAAGATGACACTGGAGACAACACCAAGCACTAACAATATAGTGTTTCATGCGTCAAAGCAATATTCAGGCCTGATGATTGTGTTGAAGCATAAAACGGACTTGTCACCACTTGGTGATATATATATATATATATATATATATATATATATATATTATATATATATATATTGAACATAGAAGTCAACACTTAAAGGCAACAGTCTGTTTCATACTAGATGCAATCATCAGGCCTGATGATTGCATCTAGCATGAAACAGACTGTCGCTTCTAAGTGTTGACTTCTATGTTCACTATTTATATTTACACATGCTCTATCTCTGATATTGAGCACTTTATCCCATAAATAAATATAGCACATCTTAAGACTATATTTCTTCATATATATATATATATATATATATATATAAAGATTAGGAAAAATTCACACATAACACACTACACAGTTTTCAACCTTACGGTCTCATCAGGGCAGGTACTTGTGGATGGTTTATCTGTAACACTATTAAATAACCAAAAGTAAATAAAATTTGGGTACTTGATCCATAAATCAAGTTCACTATGTGTTGCACACAATTGACTTGCACCAACTTTCCATTCCATGTTTAAAATCAGCTTAAATCTTCAAGAATAAAGCACTCCTCAATACAGAAGTAGTAGAAGGTGATATTGCAGTAGTAGTAAGATTTGCCGACAAAGTCTTATGATTGATTTTGTTGGCATTTTGGTGTTTATTCATTCTTTGTGAAGACATTATGAGTGGATGTGAAATTTATAAATAGGGTTACATGCATGCAAAGTAAGAAAAGAATGAAAGGGTACAGAATTACATCTGTTTTTCCCCCTGCCTCAAACACGCCATCTGAATCAAGAACGACTTCCTGATCATTATTATATTACCAGCTCTACAAATTCAATTTTTCTGAATTGTGTATTGAGCACTTTTTAAAAAAATATTCAAGCATTGGGCTGACTCTAGTCTTGCATACTATTTTTCTTTTTAGTATTATTATTATTATTATATATATATATATATATATATATTATGCACATACACATTTATATATTAGGAAAATTAATTACAAAGTGAAAAAAATAATGTGAGATGCATTTCGTTCTTTAGAATTTCATTGAACTAAAGTCATGTTTCCGTTGATGTAACTACACATGCAGACAAAGGAGGCATTGAAATTTTAAACATTTAAATTAAATTTTTCATTTTATATGTGTTTGTGTATATAGTCTACCAAGTTCATTTAGTTTCTTTTTCTTTATGTTTTTATTACTTTTGTTGTTAAATATCCCACATTGTCAAAGAAGATCTGCCAAGAAAGGTGAAACATTGTAATATCCTAGACACAAATTTACTGCGGATATTATAGCAATTAAAGCACTTTTTATATATTTTCGTCTTAGTAAATTTAATTAAACTAGAATTTTTTACATCAAAATTATGGTTAGACTCATTATGCTGAGCAAATAATTTTTTTTTACAATAATATTTAACTTCTACAAGTTCCAAGAGTCACTCAAGGTAGAGTTTTACAGAGTCAGAGCTAAGAGAGTTCATGAAGATATGTTGAAAAGATAACAGTTAACCCTAGACAGGTTACAGGGTAACCAGGGAAGCATCCCCTTGGGAGTCAGCTGCACAAAGTAAGAGATAAGTAGCCCATTTTATGAGATTATGTGGGGAAGATAGGTCCTACTATAACGTCAGGTCTACCTCAATATGTCATTTACCTAGGTGCAGCATGGAGGTCTACCAGGTCCCTCCCCTCACATGGCCATCAGGTCAGGTGAGGTCATGGATATACAAATCCCTCAAGGTCTACTATGAGATTATTCCCAAGAAGCACTCAAAGCATGAGGCCTCCCTGAGAGAACACCTGTTCATTGTGATAGATGTAAATTCAGTGTGTTGTTTTGCAGATTTAAATATATAAGTGTATGTAAATATATGTATAATTACATATATAGTAATTAGAGAGTACATATACTGGCTTCATCTGTAACATTCTCTGGCTTTGGGGGCAACACACAGTCTAGAAGGACAATTCTGAATTCCAAACTATGGAGAAGGCCATTGGGAAACCATTCCATGAACATACCTAAGAATGCATTGTAATTCTTAGATAATAATCACATTGATCCAGGATAACTAAAGATATTTTTGTTTATTTCAGATCGAATAATTCAAAGGAAAAACTATTAAATATTAAATTTGTTTTAGAATAATATATTCCATATGATCTGCAATGCTGAAACACTTGTACCAATATAATTACTGAAGGTAAGGAACATAGATACTGGTTACTATATCGAGGGGTGACCACTTAATAGTAACAGATGCTGTAAGCTTGGATGTACTGGTGGCATAATGGGAAATAGCTCAGAATTGGAAATCGGAGAGCAGATTTCCAATTCCATTTGGTTTCGTTATGATTAACTTACCTGCAAATACCGTTCGGAAAAGTATGGATCTACCTCCTTTTACTTTCTCAGTTATAAATTAATTAGTCGAACTTGTATCAGTAAATCATTATTTCTAAAAAAGTTCTTTCACTCTAAATATAAATTACCTGGAAAGGTTTGCTAAGCTGTAAAAACAAATCGATCTATTTAAGCATGATACTAGATGGGCATCTAGGTCCCATGTTTTAATTGTTGAATTAGCTAAATGCAACCACCACTTCTATGCCAACAGTTTCTTTTCTCACACTTCCCACCTGTGGAACTTCCTTCTGTTTATTTGCTGCCTAATCTTCAAATATTTAAATACAACATTAATCACTATCTTCCGTCTTCTTGAACCATCATAATCTTTTGTCTTCTCCTAAATCCTTCCTTTTCTCAGTTTTCTTCTCTTTCACTTTCAATTCTTGTAACCCTCTCTATACTATTGGCATTATCACCTTGCTTAGGGTGAAATGATTAAAAAATATATATATATGATCTGCAGTTTGGGGGAATATCATGACAAGTTGAATATGGCCTATAGGTCAGAGTTTGACAATCCGTAACCTAGTACTTTCAAAATAACTATTCTTTGAATAAACTGATATGATATCTTGAGTTCAGTCATCTTCCCATTACCATGATGTGGCCTCCATGTCTTTTTTTGAAATATTTTCATGGCAATTATTTCATTGAGCTTTTCTCATTGGTACTGCGACCAAATGAATTTAAAAGTACAACCAGATTGGCAACAAGGTCTCACCATTTTATTGTTGAATTAACTAGATGTAGCCATAAGTTTTATTCTAAGTTTATTTCCTGCATTTCTAGCCGATAGAACTCTTCAGTTTCATGATTCCCTACAACTTACAATCGCCAAAAAATTTAAATGAAATGTCAATCATCATCTTCCTGAATCCTGACTAAAAAGTGAATTTCGTTTTTTAAGCATTTCACCCCAAGCAAAGCAAGAGTGCCACTAGGATGCAAGGGGTTACAGAGAGTGAGTGCAAGAATAAAAAGGCATTTTTGAGGAAATGATAAAGAGAAGGACGGGAAACTAGATCAAGGCATCAGAAAATGTCAATTGACATTACATTTGAATATTTGTAGATTATAGCTATCAGGGAAACAAGTAAGAGGAAGTGCAAGATAAGAAGCTGTTGGAACAGAAGAGAAAGCTACATTTAACCTTTTCACAGTGAAAGGGTGAGACTGAGATGCCGACCTAGTAGTCTGCTTAAATTTGGAAACCATTGAAAGTAGCTCATCAGAGCAGTTGCCATAAAAATACTTGTAGCAAATACAGATGGAAGCAATGGCATGTCTGTGAGAAAGTGACTATAGATGAGATGCCAGATCAGGACCCATCACATTGCATATCTGTCTCTGGATTTTGTTGAGGATCCCAAGATGAACAGCGGGGACTCCCAACCATATATGGCAACAGTATTCCATGCAAGGGTGAATGGTTGATTTGTAGATTTGAAGGATGAACTCAGGCAAGAAAAACTTCCTGGTGTGACACAGAGAACTAACTTTCCTTGCTCCTTGCTGTAAATGAAGCTTTTGTTTCAATGATTAATAAAAACAATATAGAAAACTTGGGAATGACAAAATCCAAATAATAGTCTGTAATGTTAATAGTCTTGACTTGGTATCTTGACTTCACTCATCCACCAATGTGACATGGCTTACGTCTTTCTTTTCTATAAATATTTTCATGGCATTTCTTCTGATGAGCTTTCTTCCTTGGTGCCTAGATTGAATGAATTTAAACGCATTACTAGATTGGCAAATAGTTCTCATCATTTTACTGTTGATCTAGCTTTATGCAACTGTATATTCTATTCTAATAGTTTCTTTTCTTGCACTTCTTGCCTGTGGAAGTCTTCCAATTTACTCCTTTCCTGCCACTTACAAACTTCAAATTTTGAATGCTGCATCAATTGCCATCTTGTGTCTTCTTGAATTCTATTCTTTTATTGCCCTTTCTCCTCACTAAAGCCTTAATATTTTTCACTCTCAATAACCCTTGGTATCTTCATGGCTTTATCACCATTCAAACCAGTATCTATAATTGATAAAATAAACAATTTCTAATACAAACCAGTATATCTCCATTGTTGTTCATATGCTGTAAAGAAAGAAAAAACAAGTGATGAAACTTTGTTTCAAAATTCATTAAAATTAGTCTTGATCAAGAATAAGTTATACAAGAAATACCTGTGAAAATATAAGACTTTTTCTATTTTAATTATCTGATAAATTTTAATTCTTACATTAATAATTTAATAAGCTACTTGCAAGTTTTACAGCTAAAAACAAAATTGCCTCATTAAATATTTGAGCTTAACAATTTGTGGTATGGATTATGACCGCTTATATGTATTCTGCATTTAAGTAAGTCCTGCTTGGACATACACCATTATAAGTCAAATAAGGCTTCAGACAAGTTATACTTCTGCTCATCTTCTCACTACACAATTTTACAAAATACAGTAATAACAATCATAAATATGAATGCAAGTTGTTATTTAAAGAAGAGGTTACAACAAATGAAAAGATTTAAATAAGTTTTTGTGGTACAGAATTTAATAATAGATAGGAAAAGAGAAAATTTATAAGGCATTTTTTATAAAAGAAAAGCTAAAAAAAAAAAAACAACCGGTTTCATCCAAGGACTTATCAAGTTTATTTTTCTGGGAATAGAAAATTTATAAATTTATAAAAGCATGTAAATTAAATTAAGGAAATGGAATGGAATGGAAGAAAAAAAAAAGAATTTCAAGAAACTAGAATCCAATAACATTCAGACCCAGTAAGCATTCCCTCTGTTTACAAAGGGAAGGCTCACGGGATCCGATATACAAGGACTCTAGAACCTTGAGATGAAATGTGGAGTGGGACCAAGGTAAAAGCAAAAAACAGTCTGCACTAAAATTAACCACACATTTCCTACTATTTATTATATGCTCAGCAATAGCAGAGCCAGAACTGTTGGTTAGTTAGCTCTTCCTTGCTGCTGGATTCAAAATCCTGGGGGGTAAATGTTGTTTTCTTCTCAAATCCAAATGCTGGGATGTCCTCCCTATGTAGTCGAGTCGACAACTACACTTATATTGATAAATCACTGAATTAACCTGATGAGGAGGAAGGATGTCCTTACGAATGGAAGAGAAAACAGGACAGGTAACAAATATTACCCTAACATTCGCTGAAAAATAACAGCTATTGATCAAACGTGAAATTCGTCTAGATAAACTCTCACCCTCTGTACCAATATAGGGAAAACACAGATAAACTGGGCATTTATCGACAAAATACAGCTTAACCCTATGAAATTTACTAATGACGTCTTGGATAATGGAGTCTAAAACATCCAAAGGATATCCGTTTTTAGAAAGTGTCATTCTAACAAACTCAATTTCACCACAGAGAAGGTCATCAGAACATAACTTAAGTTACCTATGAATTAAGGCCTTAATCAAATGAACCTTTCATTGTCTGGGAAGAAAAGAGTCCCAACACGTATAAAGTCCAGAGAAAAGATTTAAAATTGCCAAGTTCTTTTTCCATTTTAATGAAGCAGATGTTAACCGCATGAGATTAGTAGATATGTATATATATATATATATATATATATATATATATATATATATCAGAAATGATGTAAGGCAACTGAATGACAAAATGGAAAAAATCCTATGCAAAAAAGTAATGTTTTTATTGATTGGATTATTGTGGGCGATACATAATAATGGAAGCACTGGTTATAATTATGTATTGAGAAGAAATCTCAAAGATATTGGAATGCTGAAATTTCATATTCTCTCTCTCTCTCTCTCTCTCTCTCTCTCTCTCTCTCTCTCTCTTTGTTAGTGGAAGCAAACAGCGTCTTTGACATATCTTTCTTCATGATCAGAATGGATTCATCCTTTATTTATGAGGCATTGTCAGGGTGTAACACTCAGTATAACTAAGGAATTAAGGGACAAGCAGAATTATAATGTGGTTGGAGTATTAAACCTTAGCCTAACAAGACATATTTTCTCCATATATATTTGACACATACACACATACACATGCACATGCACATGTATACACACAAAGAGAAAAAAATATCAGTCTAATATAAATAATAAGAGCATCCCAATTAGCAAATAAATTAATTACATGAAACTTAGAATAACGATGATGAAAATGAGAAAATTGGCAGTCAATTGCTGAAAGCTCCTGGGGACAGGACTGAACAGTTATGGAAAATGTGAAGTCAAAGTGCCAAATATAACATCAAATGTTGTTTAATACTGTTTATTATAATCAGAGAATTTACTTTAATATTTGTATCTATAAAAAGAATGTTAAACATAAAAATGTCTTAAAATAATTGTCGGACTTTGTCCATTTCATAATGTGTGACGTCATTTGTTTACATTTGATATGCCATGAGCAGATATGAATGTACGTGAGAGATTCATGGAAGATTGTAGTTCAAATACAGTAAATTCCACCTTGCTAACTGAACGCTCCTTCGTGGCCAAATCAGTAAAGGCATGTCAAGCTAAATGACGTTTCCGTATAGGAGACAGGTTTGAATACTATCGAAGGCCAAATATTTTCTTTGAAAATTTCTCGGACATTCAGGCTGGTAAATGTTATTTAATACTGTTTATTATAAACAGAGCATTTATTTAAATATTTGTATCTATAAAAAGAATGTTAAACATTAAAATGTCTTAATATATATATATATATGTATATATATATATATATATATATATATATATATATATATATATATATATATACACCTAGTGAGCCAGACAAACCAACCTAGGTTTCACCTAAATCGATCGTCAGGGAATTTGGCTCTTTTTTTCCTTGAGATTGATTTCATTATTAACAAATCAAAAATTTGAGGGTTTTTCGAAACGAGTATAGTTATCTATATATATATATATATATATATATATATATATATATATATATATATATATATATATATGTATTATTTAGAGGATAGAGGATAAAAACTGCATAAACTTCCTTGGTATTTGACATTTTGTGGATTCATCACTCTCCTCCCAAAGAAGAGAGATTGCATATGGGAAGAGCCCCCATGAGGCTGAAATACTTCATACTGCATTGTAACCAGAATAAAAATTATATATCGTAAATTTAGCCAACAAATAAGAAAATAAAGATATTAAATTACATACCCAGATACTGAAGTTGTTCTTCATAACCTGAGACAAGAAAAAATATATGACATTAAAAGAAAATGTTCAAAAAATATTTTTTTTTAAAAGTCAAAATATTTCTAACAAAATAAAATACAATTATAAAAGAAATAGTTTTAAAAAGTTATTGAAAATCAAAACTATTTATGAAAATGACACTCATGATGCACAGGTTTCTAAAGAAAGTCTTTAAGCTTCTTACATATTTGTAATGCTTTTATGCATATATGTATATATATATATATATATATATATATATGATAAAATATAGATTTAAGTTATGCTATATTTATGGGTTAAAGTGAACACTGAAGACAACACCAAGCACCAACAAGTGGGCATTGAAATAAAAAAAAATCAGAGGCAACAGTCTGTTTCATACTAAATGCTATTGTCAGGCATCGATTGTGTTTCGCATGAAACAGACTGACACCTCTGGATTTTTACTTCAATGTCCTCTTATATATATATATATATATATATATATATATATAATCTATATGTGTGTGAGTGTGTTTTATGTTCAACTTCTTTTGCAGCTATTCATACCCACCCCTGAAATTCTATCATTAATCAAATATGGCGTTATTTCAAATTTCTTGTACCAATCATAGCTGGATCAACTAGGTGGTGATGATTTTCTGAAAAACGTTCTTAAATTCTGTTATATAATGGCAACAGAATTAACATCTTTTATGTGCTTTGTCCCTTCAATACAGGGAGGGCTATATCTCTCCACAACTTCCTATCCTTTGTAGATGTAAGCAATGATTGTCTCTTTACTATCCCTCCTATTTCCTTCCATTTACACATGCACACATCTGACTTCTTTTGCTCTTGATATGTATTGAGTATCAAATTTTTGATTCCAAATATAAGTGTCCTCTTTGCTTCCATTTTCCTTAAGCTTTCTTTGTTGCTTACATGATTTGTCCATGGCATTCTCAGTATTCCTATTTTCTCTTTATCTGTCAAAAGATTATCCAGCATTCACTGCCATAACAAAGAAAAATTATTGAAATGTTACATGATATCAGACCTCCAATATGGCAGTGAATGTTGGACAATCTTCTCACAGATGAAGAAGAAATTCAAAGTAACAAAAGTGTGGTTCTACAGAAGGATGCTGAGAATACCATGGACTGAACTTGTGAGAAACAAAAAAAGTTCTAGAGACAATGGCAACAAAAAAGATACTCATGGAAAGAAAAAAGATAAAAAACAGTTGAAATTTCTTGGGCACATAATGAGGAAAGACGGCTGGGAAAATTTGATACTCAGAGGACATAAGAGGACCAGAGGAAAGCAATGCACAACCTACCTGGAGAGCTTGAGTGAATGGATAGTGAAGTGATAGCAAAAATGTTTTGGGAGAGAAAGCAAAAAGACCAAATTTATTTATTAAGAGCTGCAAAGTACAGGACATTGTAGAGAGCCATGATCACCAATGTACTGAATGGACACAGCACATAGAAGAAGAATATTTGTTCTTATAGTCTCTGCTGTTTTAACTGCCTAGTTTTCTCGTCCAATCTCTGCTTGATTTTCTCAGCAACCAACTGTCCAAAATCTTGAGCTGAGTGACAACACTTCTCCATGCAAAAGACAAAAAAATTAGTGACTAACGAGAAAAAGCACTATTTACATTATTCAGACTATTGTCCTCATCTTTGTTACCATATTTATTACATTTCAGTCGTTGTACACTCCGGTCTTCCTCAGGTGATTGAAATGTTGAACTGAACTCTTTATTTTGCTTACTGGGGTAGACTGTTCTAGTTCCATGGGCCATGTTTAATGGATGTCATTTATCAGATATCTCCTGTTAATTTCCCTCTGAAAGTTCTCCGCTGCCTTAACTGGGTATTAAATAAATATGGTCTTAGCTGTCAACTTTCTTAAGTCATCATCATGGTAAGTACAGACAATAGGTGAGTATCGTAGATTTAGTCAGTGTTGGGACATAGGCAAACAGTGCTTTGGTGTAAGTTTGGAAGTGTACTTTTTTTTTATATATATATACATATATATATTTTATATTATTTTCTTACCCACAGACTATTTCATGCATTTATAGCCTAATATTAAATTATAGTAATTTTAAATGTTGAATCAATATACAATATAGCATTGCTCTCACATGATCCAGACCCAGAATTTTGGAAAACACCCCTATTAAAAAGTTCATTAATATTAGTACCTGATGATTGTACAGACATGAAAGTAATATGTAATAGTTATTAATATATATATATATATATATATATATGTATGTATTGAGCCATTCAATGTGGAATAACTGTTAGCAAGATTGTCTTAGAACAATTACCAGTAAGTAGTGAGTTCAATAATTACTGAGTGTTTCATATATATATATATATATATATATATATATAATAAATAACATAATGAGAACCACGTATACTTTCTTAATATGTATATATAGAAAAAATTGCAAATTAAAAAAATAAAAATAAAAGAACATTATTATTTTTTTAATTTGAAACTTTTCCTACATATAATTGTATATATATATATTTATTAATATAAACGACAATAGGAAAACTGTAGTTATTGCTGACAGTAGCAATAACTACAGTTTTCCTATTGTCATTTATATTTATAAATATTGTCTTTTCTACAGGTTAACTCTGAGAAATTTTCATATATATATATA